GTGCGTGCGTGCGTGCGTGCGTGCGTGCGTCGTGCGTCGTGCGTCCGTGCGTGCGTGTGTGTGTGTGTGTGTGTGTGTGTGTGTATGTGTGTGTGTGCGGGCGTTGATGAGTGGCATTGAACTCTGTCGGCTAGCAGAGGGATTTCTGACAGTCGTTCGCCGTTAGTGAAATAATTGCGCGAAATATAAGAATTCAAATTATCTCCTGCATTCGCCCCTCGGCGAGACGTGTTTATGCTTTAATATTTCAGTGTATCGACTGCCACTAGTCTAGAGCGCGTGTATGTACGACGGAGACCACTCTATCTGCATACCCGCGCGTGTGTGTTTGTGTTTGCATGGGTGTGTGTGTGTGTGTGTGTGTGTGTGTGTGTGTGTGTGTGTGTGTGTGTGTGTGTGATTGTGTGTGTGTGCGTGCGTGCGTGCGTGCGTGCGTGCGTGCGTGCGTGTGTGTGTGTGTGTGTGTGTGTATGCGCGTGCATGCGTGTGTGTGTGTGCGCGCGCGCGTCTCTCTCTCCTCTTTTGGTTGGGACCACAGAAATAATATAGGTAGACTAAAAAATATATAAATATATATTTCTATAGTTGGGACTCTCCTCGATCTCAACCATTGGACCACGCGGCACGCACTAGCTGTGATGTGTAACATGCCTCCGATAAACGGGCGTTTTGTTCTAAAACGACCAACGTCTTTGAAAAACAATCCTCACGTACGCATGTCATTTTAATCGAATGTACGCGACTTCGGTTAAACGGGATGTGTATATTCTGCAACACAATCTTCAGGGGCGTGTACAGGGGGGGGGGTGTTCCAGGAGGTCCGGACCCCCCCCCCTGCTCGCGCAGAAAACGCATATAAGGGGGTCTAATTAAAAAAAAAATTTTTTGGCCCAGACCCCCCTTCGCGTGCTCGCAAGTTTGGTTTACAATTAGACCCCCCCCCCTGGTACAAATCCTGTACACGCCCCTGATCTTCCGCCTATTATCTTCATTATTATTAAATCTTTATTGTATAAAATTCAAATAAAAATACATTATGCTGAAACATGTCTTTTTCGTGAAGAAAAAATCTGATGGACGCAATAGTGTTGTGCGGTTTAAAATAATAAAGTTTCCAAGTATCACAGGACGATAGACAACGCGCTATGCAACACGAAGAAAAATATAATATTCTTTCTGGACAGCACATTCTGGACAAGTAAAGTGATTAAAGTATATTATAAAATCATATCTACACACATATGTGAGTAGAAATGATTTCATAGCCGTATATACGCACTCACATACGCACCCATGCACCCATGCACTCACGCACAACCCCCCTCCCCAGTGCCCCACCCCCCACACATACATAAACAGATATGCATATATTCAACCAGAATATATCATAATAAATTCATCATTCTCCTATCTATTATATGCTGTTAATTGTATTTTCAACATTTTTAATGTGCTAAGAGAAGAGCACTTATTGTGTCTAAATGTAGACTATTCCATATTCCATATTCCATATTCCATATAATTATTCCATGTTCCATATTCCATATTCCATATTCTATGTGGTTTATTGTCTCCATAGTAAGTGAGTTACGATCATACATTATTATTTGTTGTTATTTGTTTTAATTTCAGTGTCCATTTAGTGTAATATTTGTCGGATTTGGTAAGGGATCATTTCTGAGTGGTATGATGTATTTGTATACAAATAAAGGCGAGTGGTATACACTGGTATTTAATTATAGGTATTCTACTCGAGGCAAATTTAGTTGTTCTTTAATGCTAACAGCTGCTCCGGCTTGTCGATGTGGTGTAGCATTTTCGTGGGAATAACCTTTTATTATGCGCGAGCACAATTTTGTAGTGTGTTTAGTCTATCAAGAGCTGATTTACAAATTTTCGGCTTTTCATCGGCTTTCTAGGATATTGAGCTAACAGAACATTTTTAGTGCTAATCATATCATCATATGTATTGTACGTCGTGTGTATTGAATAGCGCGCGTGTTTTGTGCAAGCGATTGCATATTAGTGCGAGTAAATATATATATATATTATATATATATATATATATATATATATATATTATATATATATATATATATATATATATATATATATATATATATATATATATATATATATATAGATATATTGAAGAACTTATTTGCAAAACTGCGTATGTCCATTTTTTTCAAAAATGAGTTTAAACCACCAGTGTTTACATTGGTACATGTATGTGAACATAGGTACCGTGTAGAGTACACTTTTTCTTGAAAAACAGCCTACATGTTTAGTTGCATGTTTTGCTTACATCCAAAAACCTTTAGTTGCAAAATAGCCTATCAGCACCCATAATCCATAATCCATATAATAATCTATATGATAATATATATTAATCCATAATAATGATTAATCCATATGATAATCCACCAGCACCCAATTGAACTAATGCTGAAAACAATCTATACATGACATGTATACATTGTATATATTGCTGAGAACAATGTATACATTTTTCTCATGACCACTGGACTACAATAATCACGCGTTGTGTGCGTATACTTTTCAGACATTAGTGCTTACATTTCCACACATCCACCCAACACAATAACATCTCAGTACTGAGAAATGTTTTGTATTATTGAATTTACAGTCAAGCTGGTGATATTAAACTATTGTTAAACTATTTCAATGGAGTGAGTCAATTAATTATTTTGTGTTTGTTACTGGACTTTAGTTTCAAAACTGCTTACATCCATGTTTTTCAGTTATGTTAATTAATTCTAATAACTAATAAACAGATTTCTGAAAACTTGTTAATTATGACTTATGCCTCATAATTACTCAACAATGTAAAAATTATTTAAATTGATAAACCACATCGTGTCAAATAATTGTTTTTGTCGTTTTCTCTTATTCCTCCAAAATGAACATAAGCAGTTTTGCATATATATATATATATATATATATATATATATATATGAGAGAGAGAGAGAGAGAGAGAGAGAGAGAGAGAGAGAGAGAGAGAGAGAGAGCACCGCCACTCACCCCACTCACGGCCCCGCCAGTACGCGCGCGCCCCTGTGTAAACATATCTAGGCGGGACTGAACATCATAGATATACTGCGGCGTTCGTCAGTCCCTATATGCCACCTCTGAGGAGCGTAACATTGGTCTGTCACCTAGTCTTTTCTTTGGATCGTCGCGCTGCATTCATTAATGGGCGCACGGATCCACATGTTATCTTTTCT